GAAAAGCTTAAAAGACTATTTGCTGCAGAACCAGTACTGAAACACCCAGACATGGACGCCCCTTTCGTGATCCAAGCTGATGCGACCGATGTGGCGGTGGGGGCGGTCTTACTTCAATTAAATGAGAAGGGGACACTACAACCGTGCGCTTACACCTCCCGTAAATTGACTGACACTGAAAGGAGATGGGCCGTTTGGGAGAAGGAAGCTTTTGCAGTCCGTTGGGCCCTACTAACTTGGAGGCATTTTCTGGAGGGAGCGAAGCACCCATTTGAGGTATGGACTGACCATAAGAATCTGGAAGCCTTAAAAACTCCCCGGAAGTTATCCCCTAAGCAAGTTAGGTGGGCTCAGTATTTCAAGCGATTCAATTTCTCTCTGAAGTATATCCCAGGGGGAAAAATTTTTATGGCAGATGCTTTGTCCAGAATGCCTCAATACAACAGTATCCGTAAAGAAGTGATAAGGCCAATCGTGTCAACTACACAGCTGGCTGCCCCAGTAGTTACCAGAGCGCAAAAGAGGAAACGGGAAGGATCTGCCCACTGACCTGATGGAACGATTTAAGGAGGCCTTGAAAACGGATGAGTGGTTCCTGGCAAATGCGAATAACTGCACCGTTCGAGATGGTCTAGCTTGGATAGGCGCGAAATTGTATGTACCTCAAACCCTGAGAAGTCAAGTGTTACAACAAACTCATGACTCCAAGGTAGCTGGTCATTTTGGGGTTGTGAAGACCCTACATTTGGTGAAACGGCAGTTCTGGTGGTCTTCGTTGAAAAGGACATTGAGACTTACGTAGCGAGCTGTCCAGTTTGCGCTTCAGCAAAAAGACCTCCTGGTAAACCACCAGGTCTGTTGCAAGATGTGGCTAGGCCAATTGCTCCTTGGAGGGAAATTTCCATGGACTTTATAGTAGACCTACCCGAGAGCGCTGGGCACACAGTCATCTGGGTGGTGACCGATTTATTCTCCAAACAGGCCCACTTCATCCCTTGCTCCAAGGTTCCCTCGGCGAAGTCGTTGGCCAGAATGTTCATTATACATGTCTACAAGTTGCACGGTGTTCCTGAGCGTGTAGTTTCTGACCGAGGGGTCCAATTTACCTCGAACTTTTGGAGGGAATTTTTGAAGTTAATAGGCTCCACCCAGAGCTTAAGCTCCGCCCACCATCCCCAAACTAATGGGGCTTGCGAGAGGACTAATGGAGTGCTAGAGCAATATCTCAGGTGTTACATAAACTATAAGCAGGACAACTGGGCGGATCTACTGCCTTTTGCGGAGGTGGCATATAATAACTCTGTCCACAGCAGTACGGGGTTTACTCCTTTCAAAGTGGCAACGGGGCAAGATTTTGTGCCCATACCTGAACTTCCTCATGAAAAACCCAATGTCCAATCGTTGGACGACTGGATATCTCAACTTCAACTTAATTGGCCGGTCGCTCGTAAAGCTTTGGACGAGGCACACCAGTCTCATAAGAAATTTGCTGACAGAAAGAGAGCCCCGCAGAAGTCTTATCAAGTGGGTGACAAAGTGTTCCTCTCGACTAAATATTTGCAGACTACCCAGAAATCGAAGAAGTTGGGTCCTAAGTATGTGGGCCCTTTCCCTATTGAGCGGATTGTAAATCCTGTGAATGTTCAGTTGACTTTACCAAAAACTCTTCGTCGTATTCATCCAGTTTTCCATTTCAGCTTGTTGAAACCCGAACATACCTGTACATTGAGACCGACCCAGACTGATCCCCCCGTACCATTGTTGATTGAGGGTGAACAACATTTCGAGATTAAAGAAATTTTAGACTCTAGGAGATGGAGGGGTCGTATCCAATATCTTGTAGCTTGGAAACATTTTTCTCCGTCCTATGCTGAATGGGTAAATGAGAAAGACATTAGGGCTCCTGAACTGCTCAAGAACTTTTATGCCAAATACCCTGATAAACCATAGAAGTGTATGCAAATGTTAACATATGTTTATGCTATTTTTTCTTACAGGGACTAATGTCCTTCTTCTAGGGGGTCCGAATGTCAGCCTCAAGATATCTTCTATAATATATATATTCTGCATCCTAACTATTGCATCTTCTCTGTTGCTATGCCAATCTATTTCTTTCGGCTGTCATTAGCAACGGAGGGAGGGGGGAACTTGGAGGGGAAGAAAGCTGGAAGTGTTTTGCATTCTTTTGCTGTGGGTAGCAAGGGGAGGGAAAGTCTTTAACTTTCCATTTCTTGGCTAGCTTCTAACCCTTTTGCGCAACTGCGAACTTTTATCAAAATATGTCAAGGTCAACGGACATAAGCCTCATCACCACCTGGAGATGGCCACATGATCGTATTCAGAACTTTTAATTGGAAGAGTCATTTGGACTTTGGGGGGTGGGAGCATTTCCATTCCTTTGTATATGTGATCTGCGCGCCAATTTCTCAGATTCGGAATTAAATCTGTAGCTTCCACTTTGATTTCCAGTAAAAGGATAACTTTGCTCTAACCCATGGAGTCTGAGTATTTCTTTCTTGGATTTTGAAGGGAGCACACACTGACAGTGAGTTTGACACCCCTGTTTTTGACCAAAGGCTGGTTTTGGCCTTTGAATGGTATGCTGGGAGCCTACTTCATAAAATGGATAGGACCTGAGCAAATGCTAAATTCATTTAATTTAATTTACATAAAACGTACACACATTTGGTCAGTCACAGTAGACATTGCATAAGAAGTTGAAGAACTAGACTAGCTAGGGTCAGGATTTTGAGGGAGACTTTTCAGAGGTGAAGTGTGTATTATAAATCTGCAAGGCTTAAGGCATGTGCTTTGTCCCCCAAATATGAAAAAAAAAAATAGAATTTTGGGGTCTGTTCACTAGAGTAGTTCCCTGGGCTGCACTTTTACCATTGTCCCTGATGTACACTTACATTAAACTATGATCAAATTCAGTTTTTTAAAATCAAACATTGTTCATATGTTTACTTCACATGCATTGAATTGTTTTTCCCTTTTTGTTCCATTAAATTGAGAAATTTTGAGGGACTCTGGGGACCCCATGCCAAGCTTGTTTGAGGACCTTAAAAATTAAAATCTCTACTTTGAAATGGTCTCCAAAAGAGATTGGCAGCCAAGTTGGCTGATAGAATAACACCAGAATAGCTTATGCATGACAGTAGTTTGGCTTTTGAAACATTACTTTGACTTACAATAATTCATGTGGGTCCTAAAGAAGGACTGTAATTTGGTGAAAGAACAGGTTTAGTTCTTGGCATCAACAGAAAGGGATAGACACATTCTTATGTAACAGCTGGAGATAATACATGGAGATATCAACCTTATTAGCAGTCAGCAAATTGATTAGTATTGAACAGAAACATCCAATGATCTGGCTTAATGTAAGGTTACTTGTTACACAATTTAGGCTTGTTTGACCATTTTTAGATATGATTCTTCAAGAAAGGAGCCAGCTGATGAAACTGCAGAAGCTGCTGAAAAGCACTCCTGTGTTTGTGTACCACATGGACAAATGGAAATTCAGGACCAGTATTTGTTCCTTCCAAGCTTTGTGTTTCATTTTAAGCGGCCTGTGATACATCTCATTCTAGATCCGCAAAAGTGCTAATCAATAGTGCTTCTGTCTTGCCCAGATTATGCTTCTGTTTGCCTACCTTTTTCCATTCCCTCCCACAAGACAACAGAAATTGGTTCAGGGCCATTTTTGCCTCATTTTTGTCAAATGGTGTCACTGGGTTCCTGATGGCTCTTGAGTCCAGCCACATTCAGTGATTTTCACATCAAAAATTTCACTGTGTGGGAGACCTTTCTGTGTATCCTCTTTCAAACATGTTCTAAAAAAGCAGTTCCCAAATGTTCTGGTTTCAGGACCCCTTTACATTCTTAAAAATGCTAGAGGACCCCAAAGAGCTTTAGTTTGTGGGTTGCATCCACTGGTATGTACTTTATCAGAAATTAAAACAGAAGTTTAGAACTATTTATTTGACTTTGCAGACCCCTTGAAAGGGTCTGGAGGACACCCAGGGGTCCCGAGATCACACTTTGAAAACTGCTGTTCTAAAACAATGTTTAATCTGGCAGTTCAAAAAGAAACTAAGCAGAGATCAAAAGTAAGATGTGTAAAGTTTAGTGTTTATGTATTTTTAGCATTAGCTGTCCCCCACCCTTTAGCATAGAGTTCAGTCCTGGCAGAATCTGTAGATGATGGACTAATGTTTTGGGTGGCTCTTGTGTATGTGAGTAACTAAGAGAATGTGATTACTTGAGGACAGTAAATGAATGGGATGGGTTTACTGGTCACTAGACCTTTGTGGTGTATAACTCAGGTTTTGCAAAATTTTGTCACTGGTGTACACTTTAATATCTGTACCATTTCTGATTTTTTTTTATTAAAAATGTCTCTAATCCTCAAGATAGTGGAGAAAATGAGTGTGTCTAGAGCAGGGCTTTGAAACTCGTGGCCAAGATGCGTCACACGCTGGCCATGCCCACACCTGGTTTAGCAAAGGGAAAAGGTCGCGATACATCACGTGACAACATCGTGACGATGCGAGTTTGACACCCCTGGTCTAGAGGAAGAGCAAAAGTGAAATTGAACCAAGCGGGATTTTCAGTTAAATACAGGTTGTTAATAATGCACCACAGGGCTCTATTGTTGTGGTTTATTCCTTTAATACACAAGCAATACTATTGTGCTCTTACACTCTTTCCATTTGCCACCCAGTTGCTTGGGGTTGGAAAGAAAATGGGGCTTCTTCAAAAGGCTTATAATTTTGGAAATAGAATAAGAAATAAAGATATATGTACAATGCATTTCATTTGCATATACCTGGATTTGATTGAAGGTCCACAGGAAAGCTAGTGGGTAGTAAAAACAAAAATCTTAAAAGAAAAAAGGGCCCTTAAGTCAAGATCACCAGCCAGCATATGGGAGCAGCAGGCCAGGAAATTACTCTCCATTGCCTCCCTTCCCCCAATTCCTGTCCCTTCTTTTTCCCCAGATCAAACTGCCAGTCCCCAAAGGTTTGGAGGGATCTAATTTGGAGGCTCCTACCCCATCTCACCAGTCCACCCAAGAGAGCAGCTTGGATAGCAACCAGACAAGAGAGAAGATCAAACAGAAGATCAAGGAGGTGGAAGACAAGCAGCCTGAGATGAAGTCAGGGTTCATGGCCTCCTTCCTGGACTTCCTGAAGTCAGGCAAGCGCCAGACACTGCCTTCATCTGCCACCTCCTTGGCAGCTACAGTTGGGATCTCCAATGCAGCAGCTCCTGTGGACTGTTCTGCAGGCAGCCCATCCAAGACATCTCACCCCCCATTGTCTATATCCTCGTCCTCCCAGCCCCCAGCCCCCTTTAGTATGGTACCCCCAATGCTGCCTGGTGGTTTGGATGGACCAGAAGGAGATCCGCCTGGGCTTGTTATGAGCTGTACCAGCCCCTGCAAACGGCTTGACGAGGAGCTGAAGCGTAACCTGGAGACGTTGCCCTCATTCTCATCCGATGAGGAAGACTCTGTAAGCAAGAACCAGGACCTGCAGAAGAGCATCTCCTCAGCCATCTCAGCGCTCTATGATCCCACTGATCGTAGGGATGGAGAACTCAGTGGTGAGTACCAGGACCACCTCTTCTGATCATGATATAATCTTTAATTTTTGTGACTTCTGTCTCTACCACTACATGATAGTGTTAATGGTGTAATATTTCCTTTTAACAATAAGTCAGCAATGTTTCTAAGATTTGACCCACATCGTACAATCACCATGACATCTTGGGCAGAAATTATTTTATTTACTCACAGGACTTATATGGCTGCTTATTCTCATACATTCTCTCTAGGCAGCTCACAACAATCCTTAAAACACAGTTAAAAACAAAGGTACCCTCCCCCCAAGCAAATGGCAGCCTTAGGAGTATTCAGCCTTTCAAACAAAATATTTTGGATTTAATTTGGGGAAGCTAGGGGGCCTTTAGGATACAGCAGAGGTCACAGTTCTGCTATTACTATATTCTTTATTCCTACTTGTAATATGTTTTGCATCCTTAATGTAAAATTGTGAACATCTTTCTGTAGTGCTTAAGAGCTCCCCTCTTTTCTAAATAGATTGCCTTAATATTATAGTTTACCTAATTGAATCAGAATATACACATGCTGTTTCCTGTAAACTTTCTTACCCTTTTCCACCTAGCATTCATTTTAGATTTTAGATTTAGATCATTTACAGTACTGTACCAATAGAAGATAATATATGTAGCTTAGGGTTGAATGGTGGAGTTCTTGGTGCTCTCTGAGTTTGTTTGTTTGCTTGCACGCATTTCATTACCAGACTAGGTAACATCTTCAGTGCTAGAGCAAACCCCACTCCCCTTTAGCACTGAAAATGTTACCAAGTCTGGTAACTAAACATCTGCAAGCAAACAACCAAGCTCAGAGAACACCAAGGACTCCACAGTTACAGCACTGTATCCAGCTCAAGATGTCTTGGGTGATGTCCTCAGAGTCCCTCCAAAATTGTTGGCAGATTGCAACTATTAATTTTGCAGCAGAAAATGATGAAAGTGATGGAAATAATTATCCTATTTTACTGATTTTGATTGCCAATATTTGTTGTCTTAGACATACTCACTTTTTGTAGAGTGTTCCCTTCCTTTTCACTCAAGGGCTGAGTGCAGCCGTTGACTTATTTAAAGATTTATAGTACTGATATAAAATTATGAAAAACTGTGCTCTTCATTCAGAGAAGTATGCTTGCTTACTCACAGCTTGTTAACACTTTTTGGGAAACTTTTCATTATATTTTACTTGTGGAAAATATTTTTAAAGTGCTGTTTTTCTCATTAAATTAATAGCATAGTGGCATGATGGCGAACCTATGGCACGCGTGCTGGAAGTGGCACACAGAGCCACTTCTGTCGGCAGGCGAGATTTCGCCCGGAAGACCCCCACTGCGCATGTGCGCGTGCCCCCCGCCAGCCAGCTGATTGTCGGGTATCTGCCACGGATGCGCGGGGGGAGATGCGTGCGTGGGAGATGCACACATGCGTAGAGGCATGTGGCGTGGGGGGATTGCATGCGCATGCCACAGGCATGTGATACAGGGAGCACACGCATGCGCAGGGGGCGGGGGAGTCGTGCGTGCATTGCATCATGGGTGCAGGCATGCGACCACGTGCACTTTTGTCACACAACGTGAAAAAGGTTAGCCGTCAATGGGATAGTGAATATACACTGTGTGCAAAATTATTAGGCAAGTGAGTATTTTGACCATATCATAATTTTTATGCATGTTTTCCACCTCCAAGCTGTATAAACTTTTTTTTTGAAATAATTTTTAATTGTTTTTTATATACAGGTGAAACTTGAAAAATTAGAATATCATGCAAAAGTTCATTTATTTCAGTAATGCAACTTAAAAGGTGAAACTAATATATGAGATAGACTCATTACATGCAAAGCAAGATAGTTCAAGCCGTGATGTGTCATAATTGTGATGATGATGGCTTACAGCTCATGAAAACCTCAAATCCACAATCTCAGAAAATTAGAATATTACATGCAATCAATAAAACAAGGATTGTACATAGAACAACATTGGACCTCTGAAAAGTATAAGCATGCATATGTACTCAGTACTTGGTTTGGGCCCCTTTTGCAGCAATTACTGCCTCAATGCGGCGTGGCATGGAAGCTATCAGCCTGTGGCACTGCTGAGGTGTTATGGAAGACCAGGATGCTTCAATAGCGGCCTTCCGCTCTTCTGCATTGTTCGGTCTCATGTCTCTCATCTTTCTCTTGGCAATGCCCCATAGATTCTCTATGGGGTTCAGGTCAGGTGAGTTTGCTAGCTAATCAAGCACAGTAATCCCACGGTCATTGAACCAGGGTTTGGTGCTTTTGGCAGTGTGGGCAGGTGCCAGGTCCTGCTGGAAAATGAAGTCAGCATCCCCATAAAGCTTGTCTGTGGAAGGAAGCATGAAGTGCTCCAAAATCTCCTGGTAGATGGCTGCGTTGACCCTGGACTTAATGAAGCACAGTGGACCAACACCAGCAGATGACATGGCTCCCCAAATCAACACAGACTGTGGAAATTTCACACTGGACTTCAAGCATCTTGCAGTGTGTGCCTGAGCAACAGACCAGTTCTGTTTTTCTTTAGCCCAGGTAAGGCGCTTCTGACGTTTGTTGTTCAGGAGCGGCTTGACAAGAGGAATACAACATTTGAAGCCCATGTCCAGGATCCATCTGTGTGTGGTGGCTCTTGATTCACTGACTCCAGCCTCAGTCCACTCCTTGTGAAAGTCCCCAACACTTTTGAATGACCTTTTCCTGACACTCCTCTCCAGGCTGTGGTCATCCCTGCTGCTTGAGCACCTTTTTCTTCCACTTTTCCCTTCCACATAACTTTCTATTAATGTGCTTTGATACAGCACTTTGGGAACATCCAACTTCGTTTGCAATTACCTTTTGAGGCTTTCCCTCCTTATGGAGGGTGTCAGTGATGGTTTTCTGCACAACTGTCAGGTCAGCAGTCTTTCCCATGATTGTGATTCCTACTGAACCAGACTGAGAGACCATTTAAAGGCTCAGGAACCCTTTGCAGGTATTACGGCTTAATTAGCTGATTAGAGTGGGACACTTTGAGCCTAGAATATTGAACCTTTTCACAATATTCTAATTTTCTGAGATTGTGCATTTGGGGTTTTCATGAGCTGTAAGCCATAATCATCTCAATTATGGCACATCACGGCTTGAACTATCTTGCTTTGCATGTAATGAGTCTATCTCATATATTAGGTTCACCTTTTAAGTTGCATTACTGAAATGAATGAACTTTTGCACGATATTCTAATTTTTCGAGTTTCCCCTGTACAACAAATCATTCCATTTCAATCGTGTGTCGACTTGGGTACATATTTCAATTATTTAAACATTATAAATGATATTCTTATCAAATCTAACAAATCAATTTTCCCATATATATTCCCATATACATAATAATGTCACACATTATAACTTTGCTTAAATTTCTCTAATTGCTCTATAAATACATCAAATCTTTTTTAGGTTGTTCTATTCTCTATCTATTCATAAAACATATTCCATACCCTGTAATATTCAGTTTCTTCTTTTTCTTTAATTTCTAGTGTCAGTCTATTTATTTCTGCACATTCAAATATTTTTTCAATTATTTTTCCCTCTATCGTTATCACTCTTCCAATTTTGGGCAAATACAATCCTAGCCGTTGTTAAGACATGTATAATTAAGTAAATCTTTTCTTTACTATAACCTTCTGGTACCATTCTTAATAGGAATATTTCAGGTTTCAAATCTATATGTTGTTTAATCATTTTTTCCAACCATGTGTGCGTTTTAGTCCAGTACCTTTTAGCCTCTGTGCAAGTCCACCACATATGATAATATGTTCCTGGTGTTTGGTGACATTTCCAATATTTTGTTGATTTATCTTCAAACATTTTTGCTAGTCTTGCTGGTGCTAAGTGCCATCTATAAAACATCTTATACAAGTTCTCCTTATATGCTGTTGATATTGTCAATTTATAGTTTCTATCCCATAGTTTCTGCCATTTTTCCAATTCTGTAACATATCCAAAAAATTTTGCCCATGCAATCATCGTTTCTTTAACTTGTTCTTCTTCCAGTTTGACATCCAATAAATAGCAATATATCTTTTAATCAATTTATCCTCTCTTCCTGTTAATATTTTATCTAATTCTGTCAACTCTTTATCAATCCCTTCATCTTTAATATTTTTTCATACCCTGTTTGTATCTGCAAATATGAGCACCATTCTATATCTAATCCTTGTTCATTCAATTCTTGTTTTGTTTTGAGCTCACCCTTTTCATTTAAAATATCTTTATATCTAGTAACATTCCCCATTTTACAAACATTTAGATATGCAAAGTGCTTCTGTTGTTGATAACCAGACTGGTACCTTCATATAATGTTGTTCTTTTGTTTCTTCCCACATACGTAATAATGCATCTCTAACCATGTGTCTCTGAAAGTACCCATGTGCTTTACCTTTTCTATACCATAAGAATGCATGCCACCCCAGGGCTTCCGGGTTGAGCCCTCCTAGCTGACGGACCGTAGATCACGATCATCCGTGGCTACAGCCCCTGCTCTTTTGTCGGAGAGCCCCAATCATTGCGATTAGGGGCTGAAGCTGCCTCGGAGGGGTGGTGGAGAAAGGGAAAGCCACCAGTCAGGTTGAGGGGAGCCACATCTCCCCCCCTGGGCTTGGCAATTTTTCCCCCCAAAGATGACTGAAGCGGTGGTCTAAAATGGCCACCCTGAAGAGGAGGACTCAGCTGGACTAAGTTTGTGCAGGAGTGAAGAAAGAGGTGGATAGCATATGAGCTGGTGTCAGCTTTGGAATCCCTATTAAAAGCTGCCACACCGCTACGAAGGATGGGAGGGGGGTTGTTATTTGAGTAATTTTCAGTAGACATAATAGATACATAAGACTGTCAAGGTCATTTTCTATGGCTCAGCAAGAATTATAGTTGAAGGGTGATTGGTTCTCATGATTTATGATGTGGGAGAAAAGGGGTGGGTGTTGATTGAGTATTGTGGGAAGTCTGGGAGGAACCTTAGTTTCGGAATTC